CCCAAAAGAAATAACCCAGGTGGGCGACTTTAAAATCAGGATCTCCTCAGTTGCTAATAGCAATTCCCACCTTGGAGTTTACAAAGACTTATGGGTAGAAAAGCCACACTAAGTAATTTACTACACCGCAGATGGGAATGTCCAGTCTTTTGGGTCAGTAGCTGAATATGTTCACCATTTGCATTACTCATGGACTATTGGGATAAGGTCTTCTTTTAGTGGTGCTTAACCAGCCTAAACCAGAGAAAACCCAAACTCAATGCCATCGAGTCAATTCCAACTCATAGTGACCCCCTTTGGGTTTCCAAGGCAGTAAATCTTTATGGAAGTAGATTGCCCAGTCTTCCTTCTGCACAGTGACTGCTGGGTTTGAACTTCCAACCTTCTGCTTAGTGGTCAAATGCCTTAGGCACTACGCCACCAGCTCTTTTAACCAGCCTAGAGAACACTGAATTCATTTTGTAATGTTCATATTTTATCTCCCCAGGTAAATTAAGAATTCAGTGATAGTTTTTGAGTATTTATATCCAAGTAGATTATAAATAACTTGATAGTTATAACTTGTACCCATTTAAATTTTTAAAATAAAAAACAAATAAAATTAAAAATCAGTTCCTTAGTTGCACAAGCCACATTTCATGTGTTGAGTAGCCATGTGTGACTAGTGCCTACCCAATTGGATAGTACAATGAGCAAGACTTTCTAGTTCTTTCAGTGGCTAGGATGTGTATACTGAGAGAACTCTCCATCTTCCACAGACCGTTTATGACGCACGATATCCCTCTCCAGGGACAACCCTTCTCATAACATGGCCAAATAATGTGAGATGAATTGTCACCATCCTAGCTTCTATTGAGCATTCTGGGTGTGCTTCTTCTAAGACAAATTTATTTGTTTTTATGGCAGTCTGTGGTAATTTCAGTATACTTCACCAACACCATGATGCAAAGTCATTATTTTTTCTGAGGTATTCTTTATTCATTGTTTAGTTTTCACATGCATTTTTGACAATCAAAATACCAACTCATGGTGACCCTGTGTGTGTGAGAGTAGAACTGTGCTCCCTAGGATTTTCCATGGCTGATTTTTCACAAATAGGCTGTCAAGCCTTTATTCTGAGATCCCTATGGGAAGACGTGAACCTCCAGTCTTTTGGGTTAGTATTTTGGCTTGTGTCAGGCAAAGGACACCATTACTTTTTAAAATTTTAAAGCAGTCTTTTCAGCACATTTTCCCAATGCAATATGTCATTTGATTTCTTCACTGCCACTTCCATGGGCATTGATTGTGTATCCAAGTAAGATGAAATCCTTGCCAACTTCAGGGTTTTTTT